CTGGATGTTTGTCCTTGTGAAATTTTATGTTCTTATGTTAACTGCCTCCACTACATACTTGGAAACATTCTTAGTGTGGAGGTAACGTTATTATAAAATAGAAATAAAACAGATATGAGCCATGGTAGCTCAAGGGCAAAGTGCTCGCGGGCAAAGTAAACGCGAACAACCCGGGTTCGATCCCCGCCGACACCAATGAAATTGTTATTTAGATAAAATATCTTTACATTATGATACAGAATAAATGTATATCGAATGAAATCCATTTTATATAATACATATTTTTCAATTCGAACACATATTACTTACCCCTTTCTAATTCTTAACTAACTTCGCGTTGTGAGATTCCTTTTTTTTACGGGGGGAAATCCTCATGGACTGCCTCTGCCTGGGGAAAGGCGGAGGGGTGTGCCGGACTCTTACCGGCTAAAACCACCCCGGTGTCTCCTCGCACGTGCACGCGAGGGGCCGCGGGAATCCAAATTCCTCCGCAGTCCCACACTAGTTCTGGCCCGGTCTGTACGGGCCTCGTCTCCTGTACGGGGTAGTGAGGTGTTCAACTACCCCGTGTATCACCTCAGAGGCGCGCGCCGACACCCGCGCGTGCCTCCGCCTCGGGTCCATCGAATAGGGGGGCGGGGGCTTCCCCAAGTCCCTCGCCCCTGGACTCATTCATGGGGGCTGGAAAAGGGCGTTGTCCGCCCTTCTCCTGCGCCCGGTGCGCCTTCTGCGGCCAGGGAAGGGAGTCGAGATCTCCCTCTCCCGTTCCGCAGTTTCCTTCTGCGGCATCACGTCCTCACAGAAGGACACCACTGCATCCCACGATTCTGCGCTATCGACCTTCCTCCGCACCAAGGCCGACAGTGACAGATCGCCTCCTACTTCATTTGTGAGGACACGGCGCTGCTCCTCCCAAGCTACACACTCGGCGAGCGCGTGTTGCGCCGTGTCTTCCCCGCAATGGACGCATTGGTGGCAACGAGCGTCCGGCTCCCTGTCTATGCGGCACAGGTACTTGCCAAAGCAGCCGTGCCCCGACAGCTCCTGCGTCACCCTAAACGACAGGGAGCCGTGCCTTCTCCCGAGCCAGTCGTCGAATACTGGCCGGATCGCCTCGACGATAGCGAGGCCGGCGGTAGGGCGCAGAAGCCTTTGCCGCCATTACGCCACCAAGACCTGACGGAGCTCCTCTCGGCGCACCGCGATCTGTCGCTGCACCGGCCTCGAGCCCCGTCCCCGCTCTTCCTCGCGCCATCGATATAATGACGCGAGTACTTTCGCCTCTAGGTCCCAGGGCGGGGATCCGGCCAGGACGCAAGCCGCCTCGTAGGAAATCGTGCGATACCCGCGGATGACTCTGACGGCCATCGCCTTCTGCGGTTTGCGCAGAATGGCGAGAGTGCTGGCCGTCATGTCCATCGCCCATACAGGGCCATGGACCGCACGATTCCCACGTACAACCGCCTACAGGCGGCGCTGGGGCCCCCCGAGTTGGGAAGCAGCGTTGAAAGTGCGCCAGCTGCACGCATCAGCTTGGGCGGCAGCCGCCGGAAGTGGGGCCCAAATTCCCATCGGCTGTCGAGCACCAATCCTAGGTACTTCATGGTGGACTCGACAGCTATCCGGGCTCCACTGACCACGATGTGTGATCCCGGCGGCGGCGCGCGTCGAAGGCCATGAAACACCATAGCCTCCGACTTCTTAAGGGCCACCTCCAGGCCCAGGCACCGGATGCGGTTCACCACTTGTGAAACCGCAGCCGTGGCAACCAACGCTGCTTCCCTATGCGAGCTCCCCCAGGCAGTGACGAGCGTGTCGTCTGCATAACACGTCAAGTCAGTGCCCGACGGGAGCTCACCTCTCAGCACCCAGTCGTAGCCGATGTTCCACAGGAGCAGTTCCAAGACCGATCCCTGCGGAACACCGCACGACATGACGCGCCGACCAGCGCTGTCACGTCCCCAATACGTGACGCATCTCTCCTCAAGGTAAGCCTCTATTGTGCGGCGGAGGTAGGGAAGCACGCGATGGTAATTAAGCGCCTCCCGAATACAACTCCAGGGTAGGGTGTTGAAGGCGTTGGAGATGTCTAAAGACACCGCCAGCACCACCCCACCCCGGGATACTGTCTCCTCCGCCAGGGCCCTCACGCGCGTAATAGTCTCGTCTATGGTGGAGCACCTGCGACGAAAACCAAACTGGTTCTCGTCCAGGTCCGGCCCCACTCTGCACAAGTGGCTGACGAGGCGATCTGCGATGATACGCTCAAGGAGTTTGCCCACCTCGTCGAGCAGCACTATGGGCCGGTACGCGGACGGTGAGTCCGCGGGGCGCCCCTCCTTCCTGAGTAGGACCAGCCTTCCCTCCTTCCACACACTGGGGAGCTGACCCTGCTCGAGACATGCCGTGAAGAGCCCCCTCAGCTGGGGCTCCAGCTCCTTTAGAGCCAGGACTAGAGCTCGACCAGGAACTCCGTCGGGTCTGGGCGCTGTGTTCTTGGCCCGGAGTCGCGCCATGGCCGCTCTCATCTCTGCTTGCGTCACCTTGGGGACATCGGTGCTTTCCTCCCCGGAGAGTCTGTGGCTGAGGGCGAAGCCATCGCCGGGGGAACGTGTCCCACTCGTTCAGGGAAGACAACCGATACCACCATCTCTAGCAACTGGGGTTGCATTGTTTGCGTTAGTTAGTTAGTTGTGAGATTCCTAAGTCTACTTAGTCAATAGAGTAAAAAAGAAAAGACGAAAAGAAGAAAAGAAAAACGACTTCAATTTACTACAAGAATACAATAATTTATACATATTCCTTCCGATGTCAGGGCTAGATCGGATATTAATTCTTAAATACACTATGTCTTAGCTACGAGCATAAGTCAATCGTAACAGTCAGTCTGTAAGTGTCATTATTATTATGTGGAAATTATTTTATTCTCTTAGTTCCGAAAGTTTCAAGATGATTCGTGCTAGATACAAAAATCTTTGGATACAACTATTATTGTAACCTTGCGCTCGCCCCACATCGAGCAGTTACGCACACAGAGAACATTGTAGTGTGCTTCAATATTACGCCGTTCCAGAGCGATTTTGACTTGCGCAAATTTGAATATACGCTCCTAAGATTGCATTTTTATTTTTATCAAGTTATTTAGTGAGATTTATTCTCTTATTTTATTTTTAATAAAATCCCTGAATTTTTCGTTTTTTTACGGTATTAGTGTTCATATACTGGGCCTGAAATGGACCGTCTCCTTTAACTAAAATGGTTTTTCAGTAATGGGCCAACATATTAAGTACTTTGAATAGGAAAGTCATGATGGGCGTCCTTCCACCCAGAATCCTGCCCATCAATATTAGAAATTTTATTATGTCAATGATTTAGTAAGGAATTGGCGACAATTACCAACTTATAAAACAAAAATTGTGACTCAATACTTTTAAGAGATGTAGACATTTTTGGGAGGATACTAGCTCGAATTTAAGCTAGCAGCCTGTCCTCATTTAGCTTGAAAATGAAGCTAGAATCCTCATCAAGTTTTCACTTCACTTATTGTCATCAATTCCTTACAAAATCTTGATAATATAAAATTTAGGATATTGTTTGGGAGAATACTATCTTAAAAGAAGCCATGATGTTGTTTAATCGTGGCTAGTCCTATGATCAGAATTTATACTGTAAATTGGGTACATCAACTTTATTTTAAGGTGTCGTTTTTATATTTTTGCTTTACACATAATATAAACACCAACTTTAGTTATTTTTGTTAACTAAGTAATAAGTGACGCAGTAACCTTGCAAAAAATATTTGATAATTGAAATAAATGCCAACTTTAGCAGGCCAGTTCTTCTTAGTTTAACAACGATTAACGCAAGAACTTTTTGTGAATAAATGAAATTATAAATCAAGCAAAGCAAGAATTCAAAAAATATAATCATATATTGTAAACAAAACCGAGATGTTAACTGTCGACAACTTGACAAGAAAGAAGACCTCACTTCATTAAGCACACCAGAGGATGCAATTTGAAGGTGAAATAGAAGTCATGTTTGATAAATTAAATGCCATTCCTTATTTTTAAGACCTCTATATAGTAAAATAGAGTTAATAATAAAGAATCTCATAACGATTTCAAAATTAGCATGGTATTAGTGACTTTTTAAACCTATCAATCACAAAAAATATTAACCAAACAGGTAGCTGATGTAAGCATCACTCTAGTAGGCCTTAAGATGAATTAAATGATTTAAAAAAAGTACGTAAGTCTGAGTCCATTGAAGGCCCAAAATTACATGAAGCAATGGGAAACACGAGGAGTTAAAATTGGCCTTATTGGTGTAGAAGTGCAGTATGTTTTTATAAAATAAGTGGATAATAAATTTTTTTATAATTTATACATCTTAGGATTAATAATGTTTTATTCGCAAGAATATGACGAGGGCATCCACAACCTTTTCTGTCACCAGGACGGCGCCCTTTTGGAATGAGATGAAATATTTGACAGATCTCATAGAAGGGAAGTTAATTTGTTAGGAAATTGTAAGGGTTATGTAATGTTTATTTTTGTAATATTATTTATATTTTATGTTAATTAGATAAGAAACGGATAAACCAAACTATGGTTATTCTTAAAAGTATAAATATTAAGGAGTGTGTAAAAAAATTAATGAGCCAATCACAGAGGCATTGTTTGCGTATTAATTTAATACTCTAGAAACTGATAAACTTTAAAACTAAATTACATTGTGTAACAAAAAACTTCACCTCAGTTCCAACTAGTGACATCTGGCGAGTGGAAGCTTGCTATTATCCTTCTTTGTATTTCCTAATAAGTGATCATGTCAACTGCTTACGAATTACTAGTGTCAAAGAAATACGTATATGTGACTTTCTAAAAGTAGGTTGCAGGTGTCCATGGGCTCAATTAACCATTCAAATCAGATGGACTGTAAGTGTGAGTAAAAAAATGTAGGTGTTTTGTTGTGCATGTTTAGTGTGGCCGAGTCACCTTGGCTCGTTGTTGCATTTTGAGCTCCTCGCGCTTGTAGTTGCGCTGGTAGGCGGTGATGAGGCGGCGCAGCCTGGTGTTGAGGTCCTGCATGGAGGGCCACGGGTGCGCGCGCGCCGCCTCATCCTCGGGCCGCGGCGACGCAGCCGGCGACGTGGCGCCCGCGCCGCTCGACACGTCGTCCGTGCAGTCCTCGTCGCCCACGCCACTGCCTCTCACTTTACGCTCCTCACTCCTGTTGCGTATCATAACAACCAATCATGAACTAACAGATAATTTATAAAATCAACTTACAAATAGTCTGACGCTGTTGTTAAAGTTGTGTCGGTGTTTGTATAATTAATCTTTTCTATTAGTACTAATTTTCTTGATTAAATATATAATTTTTTTCTATATAATTATAATAATTAGTAATCAGAATTGTCATCTAAATCACGTGAGCTTAAATGATGAAATGATACAAATTTGTTCAAGAAATTATGAGATTTTAAATTATATTTACTTAAAATTTTATTACATTTCCTATAAAATGATACAAAGGGCGAATTTAATCCCTATAGCATATTTTTCTTAAGCAGTCAACCCTTGCAATGGTATGAACTATATGTAGGTATAACAATTAAAATTACTTATTATGTAAACTAAAATAAATAGGCATATTACTAATTAAAAAACAACTAAATATATTATGGTAAAATATTATTTACATTATATAGTACTATATAGTATATTTATTAAGGTGTAATAACTGGTGTAAAAAATGGAATACAACAAATCACGGTCCGGAGCAATCTCGAATTTCTGAATTTCTTACCATGACGTCACTCCATTTAGGAGAGGTACATCCTACACTTTGATTACCAGTACATGGTCTCTCTTCTCCATCAATTTCTTCGAGCAATATGGCCGGCATTAATTGACACTGACAGTGATATTTTGCGTTTTGTCAGTTTTTTTTGTTTCTTATATATTGCAAAATTTATTGTAAATGTGAAACCAAATAGATTGGTGTGATTTCAACATTTTATATTTTATTCGCTTAAGGAATACAACAAATCACGGTCCGGAGCAATCTCGAATTTCTGAATTTCTTACCATGACGTCACTCCATTTAGGAGAGGTACATCCTACACTTTGATTACCAGTACATCGTCTCTCTTCTCCATCAATTTCTTCGAGCAATATGGCCGGCATTAATCGACACTGACTTAGTGATATTTTGCGTTTTGTCATTTTTTTTTTGTTATATTTTGCTAAATTTATTGTAAATGTGAAACCAAATAGATTGGTGTGATTTCAACATTTTATATTCAGGAGGCTGCCTCGTTGGTCTACTAGTTGTAAACGCGATTGCTGATCATGATGTCCCGGGTTCGAATCCCGGGTCAAAATTAGTTATGGGATTTTTCTGTCAAGAAATTTTTAGTAGCAGCCCGGAGTTAGGAAGTTGGCAGTGTTTCACCACCATTCCTCGGAAAGCACATAAAGCCTTTGGTCCTGCGCCATCCCTTCGGACTATGAGAGTGAGGGAGTAGAGAGTGCATCTGTGATTGCACATACACTTGAGGACTATATCCTGTACCGCGCAGATGGTTTGTTTCCCTAGAGATTGGTCACCATGACCGAAATTTGGTCTGGAGAATTTTATTATTTAGGAGATGGTGGTAATAGATATTATAACTACTTCAATAAATACAACTTCATGAAATGACATTAGTCAGTCCTCTCGTTTATAATTCCCCATATTTTAACGCGAGCTTTTATACTTACTTAATATCAGTACACTCTGCATCATCTGGTGGACCCAATTTATCCACAAAGCAAAGTTGTGGATCAGAACGCATTGCAAGATAATTTTCATAACCATGTATGTACGTGCCGACAAGTAATGATACGTCGCATTCGGAGTCCCACCAAATGCGTGGGGGAGTACTGTCCACTCCACGCGGCACACGCATTCCCAAAGAACTACAACAGAAATATAAAAAAGGAAATTATGTAATGATTTCTTATTAAGCGAACACTACACATTAAATGAAACTAATTTTACCTTTTTATTTCCTGTCTTTTAGTTTTAACTTTTTAATTCTCGAGGTTTCTATAAAGCAACCGAAAACTCGATAAAATCCGTAAAATTAGTTCCATTTAAATAATGTAAGCTAAGTATTACTAAGATCTAAAATCTTGACTGCTATGTGTTATTAACTGAAAAGCATATAATTAAATACTGAATTGCCCATCTAGTGATACCAAGTGTATTCTAAAATAATAAGATTTAAGGGGTAAACAATATAATTATATAATAAGTAAACTTTCATGCATCTAAATAATACATGTGCCAGACTTAACACCTCAAGGCATTATCTCCTAGTCAACTTTAAGGCTAAGCGAAACTAAAAAGAAAATGCGCACACTCGCACGCAAGCACGAACGCACGTATGCAAGAACACACGCACGCACGCACGAACACACGCACGCACACTAAAAATAAGGTGTGTGTATAACGTAGAAAACAATTATGAGAATCTCCCAGGTATTGAAATTCAGATTTATAGTAATTACTCAGAAGACCATTCATCGTTCAGAATAGGATAGGATATACGGAAAGAAGATACATGGTCGTATTTATGAAGACCACGTGTCTAATACAGTTGTTAAGGAGAAGATTCAGTGCGTTAATATGTTATTGAGACAGGTTGAACAAAAACACGTCGACGTAGTCTATAATCGTGGGAATAAGAGACTGGACAAGTTAAACCTTTGTAGCGGTTGGAAGAATAGATGAAACAAACCTACACAAGAAAAGATTTTGGGATGTGTCCTGAATCCAGTGAGATAAGCAAATGGTTTTTTTTGTGTATATAGTGTATCGTGAAAGATTTTATTTGGTACTAGATGTGCCTGCGACTTCGTTCGCGTGTAATCTTTTCTCCAATTCTTTTATATCTACAAACAGAGTATATATGTATAATGATATCAGTATTAACTTTTTTTTTACTTGACGTCGTTTCAATGACATAACGCTATGTATATATTACCGTAGTGTTTGGATGATTAAAATTCATTGTTATTCGAATAATCGGCAAAATATTCAAATAATCGGTAACAATATTCTAATAATCGAATCATTAATTTCTTTAATGTATTATTTGTTTAATTTAATTTTTATTTTCAAAATTGCTTAAATTACATGAATCATGAATACAACAAGTTTATTTTTTTACTTTGTCAAAGTAAATTTGTGTAGGAAAAAAACTCATATACAAGGCCATACTAAAATAACTACTACATAATTTCTATATCCCGCCATTTCGGTACCAGTTACTCGACACCACAGAATCAGTAATTCATTCTTGATCCTCGATGTATACGCTTTTACAACAAAATCCCAGAAAATATACAAAATTTAACATAAGTACACTAAGTTCAAAAACTTTATTAAACTATTATAAGTTTGTATAAAAAGGGTTATTTTAATATTAAGGAATTTATGGATGATAATAACCCCTGGGAAGGATGATCGCTACCAAGCTATTCCTAATTTGTTTTGTGTTGTTAATTGTAACATGCATGATTGTAAGCTCGTATTTAAAAAAAAAAACTAGTCCCGTTGGGTTTCTTGCAGCTTCTTGCATGGCAAGAACTGAGGTTTTTCTTGCGAACCAGTGGTAAATGAAAAAAGTAACTTTTAATAAGTATTATTCGTAATCTATATTGAACTCAACCAGGGCAGGACAGTTCTGCTGCTCTCACAGAATACCAGCGTAAAAAAGCACCGTAATGCTGCAGTGTTTCGTATGGTGAGTGGAGAGAACCGGAGACCTTACTTACTGAAAACGAGGCATTCCATCTTAGTCCTCAAGGGTGACAATGCATTTGCATTTTGATTCTTACTTGAGGATAAATGTGTATGTCTCCGTGCCGTAGCATCCACTTACCATCAGGTGGACTGTGTGCTCGTTTGTCACCCAATGTTATAAAAAAAATATTCGTTGAAGCATGTGCCCATGTCACAAAGAATGATTGGGCAAAAGTGATAGAGAAAACAAAAAAATTGATTATGGATGACTTTGAAAGACATTAATTTTGACTGCATTATTGAAAATCAAATAATAATTAATATAAACAGCGACATCTCTACTAGTTGTACTGAAAGTGATTGAATAAATTTATTTTTAATCTAGTTTCAATCTTAAATTTTCATAACTGTGTCTCTAGAAATAAGCAGTAACAACAAATACGAAGAAACTGATAAATATTGTGTTTTAAATTATCCGTTTTTAATTTATTCTGGTATTATTCAAACCAAACTGTAAATGATTACCAACTCTAAATAATCGATATCGATTTTTTTAAGAATCGAATATTGTATGTTTCCATTTTTTGGTTGGCATGCTTGGTGCAATAAGTCTGACAGCTGTCAAAATGTATTTCTTAGATTTGGTTGACTATAATTATTGTGTTATTTTCTTAATACAATAATTCTTTTATTACCTTGCATGTACTCCATTTTCTATTTGCGATGCATAGTCACCAATAACTTCATGTTTGATGTAGTACATCATTCGAACTCTCAACAATACTCTGTAACATAGCAAAATGTTTTCTCTTATTTCATTTTTCATTTCAATTAAAAATAGAACGGAAAATGTATATATTTTACAAATAGATTAGTGATTTACGTTAGTTAATAATAGTTTGTACGTTTAAATACGATTTTTTTAATCCCTCCCAGGGAAAGATAATAAGAATAGAATAACTAACTCTAAAAAAGACTACAATATAAAAGCAGAGGAGGTAGTGCTCCCTTTTTTGCATAGGATTCATTGTAGAATTTATACACTTTTACCTATTTCTGCTGCAAAACAGCAAATAGCTAATACTAATAATAAATAGCTAATACTAGCCAGGTATGACAAAAATACAATATATTTTACGTTCTGAAAAGGATTTTTTTAGTATTTATATATCATAGAGTCCCAGTCGCCTCAGATGACCCGTGAGACTGATATTTTGTTTGCTTTTTTATTTCGGCTTTCACCACCAGGAAGCTTGTGACCACCTTTGTTACACGGAATTGCTTATGATTTGCCTTTTACATTGTTTTTATTCTTATTTCTTCCAACAACAATGTACCATCAAGCGATAAAATTGGCTGTTATTGGCCATACTTTTAGTTTTTTACATTAATATTAAATATCTGTATACGCAGTTGGTTTTCGAAATAAATTAAAACAAAACATTAGTTGAATTTGTAAACTTGAATTTAAAAACAAACTTGGGTAACCCAGGCTTGAAAAAAACTTCCGTTATTTGACATAGCCAGCAGTGATATATTAACACATTATATTCATAACTATATTAAGATTGTGTCGTATTTTGCGGGGAATACTTACTTATTGGCGTGCCTAAATAAATGTTTTTTGTAACTACTTTCCAAGTAAGCTTCACAGTCGTATTTGTCTATTGAACTCCAATGATTGGGATCTTCCCATTTTTGAAGATCATTTAATTTAGGAACTTCTTTTAATCGATTCTTCTTTTTAGCATTTCTGCCCCGAGGAACTGGGTTATGAAGCCCACTGTGATTTCTCGAGATAGTAACTTCACCATTTTCACAAGGCTCAATCAAATCCCATATAAAATTTCTTATTTTTTCATCACCTTTATAGTGACGTAAACAATATAAAACCTGTAACAAATAAAATTGAGTGTATATTATTTATGCACAGATTTCATATCTGTGGAACGAGTCATTTATACTTATTCAGGAAATATTTTGTTGAACTCAGTGAAAGTCTAAACTTTCTCGGTATTAGCATGGCAAGTCATCATTCCAGTCAAATATACTATTGCGTGTGCCACTCAGAAAGTTTTGTGAAACTAAAAGAAACCTATAGTTAGCGTTTTTATTTCTAAATCTTTTTATAGATCTTTCCTCCAGCTTCTATGCAGTTTCAAGCGTCGGAACCAATTTTCTGATAGCAGATCTTCCGGTGATAAATAATCCGGGAATAAAAAGTCACGCATGAACTGCAGAGCCTCGTGTTCGTGTTCAGAAAGAAATTGACACCAGATACCCCATCAAGTAAAAAAGTAGCATTTAAAATCTTCTCTGCGTTTTTCATTTGCTCCAGTTTGCTAGGCGTTGATTTATTTTAAATTTTAAAACTGCCAAGTCGACGACTGGTGCTTCGTTTCTGAATTGTATTGACAATTCTAAGATTCATTACCCGTAATAATATCATACCATATTACATTATCTCTTAAAAATTGAAACAGGAACATTCGTGTTTTACTTGAAAGTATTGTTAAAATAAATGAACACTTACCAATATTTCATAAATTTTTTTTTCGCAAAGCTGTGTATCATATCAGATATGCCAAATTCATAGCAAATAAATAAGGTAATAAAATCAATAACTTACTATTATACGAGCACAGTCTTCAATCACAGGTAATGTCCATCCTTTTCTGAACTGATTTTTGTCGATTATTTCTTCCCATCGCGCCCATCTGGAAAATAAATAAATAAAACAAACGATAAAATTATGTTACATCATTTATTATATAACTATTTATTGTACAATTTTTTATAAGCGTTTTTGTTAATACGGTCGACAACTTGGTAATGTAGTAGGAGTTAGGCTAGCTCTGCAGCAATCGTTGTGGTAAATAAAAACTTCAGAACAGCTGCCATTTTTGGGATTCTAAGAACATAACACGATCATATATGGCATTTAGCCCTAGATTTTTGAATTCTAAGAACAGATCCATGATGGAATACGAAATAGATGGGAAAAATTTCTGGGAAGTTACCACATGTTACACAGCTAAACACCAAATGTGATAAGCCAATAGACAGCTCATTGAAAGTTTACTGCACTGCGAAACTGTGCGTGCGTCTATTCGGACGTTGAGTTGGTGCTTTAGCTCTATATGTTTACTATGATATTACTTTAACGCTGCTTTCGGCGGTCTCTAGATTTTTTACATTCGATAAATACAGGTGTAAAAAGACCTAGCTGCAATACTTGCATTATGAAGGCAAGTATTGTAGCTAGGACTTTTTTAATACGGCTGATTCAAAATGTAAGCTGGAATGACGTGTGCCCCCACTCAGCCGCCTACAAAACGACCTAACGAAAGAAATGTGCATGCGCCTCGCTAGCACTTTCAACTTTCATTCACTAGCGATCGTAGCCTACGGCCACGCTGTTTAAAATAATATCATCTATTTTCATTTTTACGCAAAAGCCGTAGGATGAATTGTTTTTATGAATTTTTTTTGGATATTTAAAAAATTTGTCCATTAGTTATATTTTTACTATTGAGTATAGCTTCTATTCCACTTACACAAAACACCATATTATTTTCCAGATGATAAAAAATTCACCCAGTATACAGATGATCTAGTCCAGTTAATTTTCAAAGAGTAGTCAAATTTTAAACTTAAGTTCAAATATATAATTAATGATATACTTTTATTTTAAATTATCCCAAATTGAAGTTGATTTATGGGCAACAACGTCGACGCATACCGATTGACCCTTACGAATGTGCGAGTGCGTCCGCAGTAAAATCACATAAAATAATGCATTACCACAAATTTTAAATTTAAAAGATAAAAATGTTTGAGATTTTATTTAATTTTTTTCATAATTTGCCTATATTACTTATTCTAAAAAATCTCTGCTAATTCGATCAGTTGTTACAAAATAACCCTGTATATATATTTTTGCCATTACTTTTTTCTTGTTTGTAAAACAAAGTCGCTTCCCGCTGTCTGTGCGCTTAGATATTTTAAAGCATAGTCGCAACGGATTTTCATGCGGTTTTCATCAATATTACTTTACAATTACTTTACTTACAGAATTATTCAAGATGAAGGTGTATAATACATGCATATATTCTTGTGTCAATGTGTATGTGACTGAAAGTCCCTCTGAATGGCTGTTGGACCGTTTTAGATGAAATTTTGTGTCATTAAGTTGATTCGAGAATGGTTTAGATTCACAATTGAATCCGGTAGATGTCGCTAGTACTTAATAAAATTAAAAAGTTTTAAAGCTTGTACAAAATGATAACCAAATAATTACCCAAAAGTTAGTAAGCCCCTTTCTATCTTAAAACATTCTGATCTAGTCCAGGATCCATAAACAACTTCTTCATCAACTGGTACACCTTCATGTCTTGGAACATAGTCATCACTTGCATATCTCCTTCCTTTTCTGCCAATTTTATCTTTCTTTCTCTTGCTTCTAAGACTAATACCTTAAAGAAAATATGCTTTGATTAATAATTACATATCTTTACGAAAACAAATATTAAAAATTTAATAATAATTCCCCATAAACTATAAATAAGAAACTATAAAAATGAACATAATGAATAATGAAAACACGTTTTCCCATTCCCTCCCATTAAAGCAAATTTAATAATTTAAAACAAAACATTAACACATAAAGAAATATAGATTCTTACAATCTCTATAAACATAATGTAATCTTTAAGCGAATTAATAAGATCATGTTAATGATTTAGTTAAATTTTTAACTAATATTACATATGCAGAAACTGAACAATTGAAATTCATTTTCTTTGATACAATACTGCCAAGTGATTTTTTAGTTGTACCTAATCAGTGATTCCTCAGACGCCGTTAATAATAAGGTACAGAGTGGAAGCGCCGAAGAAATCAACAGTTCACTTAATAGATTCCATGTTAGAAATCAAATGTTAGATTGCATTCTTATTTGAAAATATTAAATATCATCTTAATAGGCATTTAGATTTCATTTTCATTAATTTTATGTTAATTATCTTGTAAATCTTGAAGAATTTATGCTCTTTTGGGATTTATGAGTTAACAAGCATTTATTGGTATTTTCTTACCTTCTTCGTCGTCTTCAGAATCTGGTGTAACTTCCATATCGGACATTTCCATAGGGCCATCGTCGTGGCCATATCTTTTAATACTAGTTCTTTTTCTAGGTTCGGTAACTATTAAATCTTCATCTTCCTTTTTCTCAGTAGTATCAATCTCAGCTTTTTTAGCCCACTTATTCCAAAAATCGGGATCTCTTATATCAATATCAGATCTTTGGTCAGTAGCAGCAAAACTGGCTTTTGAAAATGTAGAGCCTTTTTCGGATTCCATTTGAATAACTTGAGTGCGACGAGCTAATATCATTTCAATATCTTCTTCACAAAATTTATCGCCTGCATTATCTTCATCCATTACGGCTCCATATGCACCTTTCTTTAATAAATCTTCAATTTCTTTTTTAGATAACTGTTTTAGCCCAGCCTCTTTCCCTTGTGCTGTGTTCATGCTTTGCAATATAGCTTTGTCCAAACCAAGTTTTAAAGATGCTTTATCAAACATCTCTCTTTCGTAGGTATTACGACATATCAATCTATAAATTTTTACCATTTTTTGTTGGCCGATACGATGACAACGAGCTTGGGCTTGTAAATCATTTTGTGGATTCCAATCGCTATCATATATTATAACAGTATCAGCGGCAGTCAAGTTAATACCTAATCCTCCTGCTTTTGTACACAATAAAAATACGAAGCGATCAGAATCTGGTTTAGAAAACCGATCGATAGCTTCCTGTCTCAAATTACCACGTATACGGCCATCAATTCTTTCGTAAGGGTATTTTCTAAAAACAAGATAATCTTCTAATATATCTAAACATCTAACCATCTGACTGAATATTAATACACGATGCCCCCCCGCTTTCAGTTTAGGCAACAATTTATCAACTAAAACCATTTTACCCGAAGATTGTATTAGCGCTTTATAATAGGCTTCTTTGTCCTCTCCATTAGTTTGCTTGTAATCAAATTGTATTTGATCCTCAGCACCATTTAGCAAATAGGGATGTATACAACATTTTCGCAGTTCCATCATAGTATTCATTAAATTTGGAATATTAGCAGCTGAAGCTGCACCCTTTTGTAAGAAACTAAAATTTCTCTCTAAAATAGCTCTATAATACTTTTTCTGTATGTTTGTTAATTCAACTTCAATAATGGTTTCTTCTTTCGGTGCTAGAGTTTTTTCAACATCTTCCTTTAGCCTTCGTAACATCATTGGTTTTAGTAAAGCTTGTAACTTTACAACTTCTGACTCTGTTTTCAACTGACCAAATTCATTCAAGAATGCATCACTACTAGAAAATTGGGAAGGTTCCAAAAAATTAAGTAAAGAAAAAAGTTCATTCACATTATTTTGTAAAGGTGTACCAGACAAAAGAACTCTGTGTTCTAAATGTAACTGTCTTAATCCTTCTAATAATTTACAATTTCGATTTTTAAGCCTATGAGCTTCATCTATGACACATATGCGCCAGTTAAAGGATTTCAACTCTTGAAAGTCTGTTACTATGATTTCGAAAGTTGTTATCAAAACATTAAATTTTGTTATATCTTTTATTGGTTCACCCTTTGCACCTTTATAGTAAAATTCGTATTCTTGAATCATACTTTTACTTTGCTGAGATCCATGATACACAATAACATTCATATCAGTCCAAGCTTCAAATTCTCTTTGCCAGTTTGGTATAGTGGATAGTGGAGCAATTATAAGAAATGGACCTCTTATACCATATTCCCAAGCTGAATTAACAAATGTAAGACTCTGTATTGTTTTGCCGAGACCCATTTCATCTGCCAAGATACAATTTCTATTATTATGCCATGAGAATAATAACCAATTCAGACCTTCAAGCTGATAAGGTCGCAACGTATTACCGCCTTTATAAAGTGGCGATTCTTTTAACTGAACCCAATTATCAGCAGATGGTCTCTTTTTGAACTTCCATTTTTCTTTTGGTGGTATTTCACTGAAAGTCTTAAATTGTTGAATTTTGTCAACATCAATATCCTCTTCTAACTCCCACGTACAGTCTTCATATTGTAAGCTTTTCCATTTAACTAAATAATGTTTAACCACAGTATTGTTTCCTGGATCTTGATTTTCAGACATATCCAGAATTCTTTCCACTTCTACATAATCAGGATTAAATGGTTCATCATCTAGTAGTTCAAAAATATTCAATTGCTGAGCTTGTTTCTGTTTAAAACGTTTTATTTTTGAAAATATTCGTTTGTCACCTTTGTACAGCTCTTCTTCGGTTTTCCATTCACAGTGTAAATACGAAAAATTTCGATATTTTACAAAATACTCTTCAACGTCTATCATCAAAGGCTTTTTATTTTTCGTCTCTTTATTATCACTTTCTACTAAAGTTTTAACTTCTTTATTATCTTTCACTTCAGCTTGTTCAATACTTTTAGATTTATCTTCTTCGTTATTACAGTTACCACTTGATCCAGGAATAATATCTTTTAAGTCTTTGGAAGTTTTAACTGCATGTTCCGTTTCTAAGGATTCAGTTTTTTCTACTTTTGGCTGTTCAGGTTCAGGTTTAAGTTCTCTTTTCCCCATACGACATGCCAAAACATGCTGAACAATCATTGCATCTTCTTCTGTAGTATTAACATATATATAGTTTGGTTTTGGTGTGTTCTCGGGAAGTTGAAAGTCTTTGGTTTCTACATTTAATTCTTCTAACTCTTTGTCCTGTTTGGGAGTTGACATCGTAAATTCATCATCTGATAAACGCAATATAACGTCATCAGTATATTTTTTACGCTGCGTATTCCTAGCAGAACGCCTCTTTAAACTATCGTCACCTTCGGGGGGAGGTGAAGGAGGTGGCGTGGTAATTAAATCATCAGGCTCTCCATCTGAATCTGGTATTAACCCAGCTCGCTTCTTTCTTTTCCCGGCAGGAGTTTTTTTTGATAAAACTTTCTTGCAGTTTCCTCCACCAGATGATCTTTTCTTAGACGGTCTTTTCTTTTGACTGATATGATCTACGTCATCATCTTTATCAATTTGTTCTCTTTTCGCTTCTGCTTCTTCAAGCAAATCTTTGATCGCTATTTTAGAAACTGGAATATCATCAAAGTCAGTAACATTACTATCATTTAATGATGGCGTTTCGGAGCCAATTTTTATATTTTTTACGGGATCGATATTGATAGAGGTATTATTAGCAGAAAAATCACTTAAACTAATAAATGAAGCATCTTTTTCCAGTAAATCGTTACTGGTTGTAGTGTCTGCCTGAATTTCGGGTGCTGCTTTCTTAACGTTTCTTTTTCTTTTCGGTGCATTAGGATCCTTAGGTTCACGCTTCTTTCGTTCTTTGACGGGTTTATCTCCAGGTTCTTTTGGAATTTTTGGTTCCTTTGGTACACGTGGTTTTCTTTCTTTATATTTTCGCGGTGCCCGTGGTTTTTTAACCTTTCCACAATTCAGGTCATCTGTAGAAAGTGCACTACTATCTAAAATAGAAATATCTTCAGTTAATTCAGTATCTAATTCTGAATTACTTTGCAGTCCTGTACCTGCTGTCACGCAATCTTCAGATACAGGTAGTTGGTCAAGAGATTGTAATGTAGGTACCACTTTTTCTTTCTTTGCTCGTGGTTTTCTAGGTTTCGCTGGTCCTTTACCTCGTCCACGACCTGTGGTGCTAGTGACTTGAGGACTTTCAACCATTTTTGTGCCATATATAGGATTTTGTAAAATGCAATTTGGGCCACCATTACATTTGTCATTAGATTCATGTTGTTGAAGCATCGCCAGCCTTTCTTGAAGACACCTAACTTTTTCTTGGTTTTCATTAGAAGGTGGTAAACAATATATCTCCTGTATTTGTTGTTGTAAAGCTATTCTTTCTTGATGATGAGACGCAGTCAACATATTTGGGATATTAGAATGAGACAAACTATTCGATCCCATAATTATCATATTTGGATTCATATTGTGAGATACATTAGACATAATGTTAGGTTGATTATTTGGTTGGTTTGGGCCCAAACTTGGATGAACACTTTGAACACTCATTGGTAGTCCTACTTGGATATTTGGAATATTGGTAGGAGCATTTGTCTGAACATTGGATAAATTGGTAGAGGAGTTAGGTATAGTAGATTGTATATTTCCTATCATAGTGACAGATGTAGGCGGTATGCAAGTTAAATTACCTTGCGTATTGTGACCTGGTATACTCGAAGACACGGTGTTCATAATATTTCCATGCATCGCATGTGTAGGCGAATCATTAATTTGTCCATTAGTAATTGTTTGGGTACCAGTTGGAGGCCCGCTTTGAAAAGTAGAAGTCACATTAAGAGTCTGATTACTATGCATGCTTGTTGATGCGCTTGAAACTAAGTTAGCTGAAATAGGTTGGTGCATCATATTCTGAATGTTTGGCGTAACACTTTGATAAGTATTATTTTGATATCCTTGATTTCTAGTCTCATTAATAACCGGTGAATCGAACTGAATAGCAGTATTTGTTGTGTTGTTAATCGGTACATGGCTCACAGGCAAATTAACTGTTTGCGGACTGCTTGCTTGTGGATTTTCCGCAGTATTTAGATGTGACACAGAAGAGGGTGGTAACGATGTAACAGGATTTCTTAGAAGTTCATTACTAATTTGCTTATTGGAAGTTTCTACTGTCTGAATGTCATTTTCGTGTTTTTGCTCACTGTTACCCGCAACGTCTCTTTGCATATCAGTCTTTTCGTTTTCTTTGGGATTTCTTACAGGTTCAAAAACAACTTCAATCGGTTGTCGCCCTTGAACTAAATTTTCATTTTGCTCCATATTATCGACAGAAGTACAAGGGGTTATAGAACTGGATGTCATTGTAGCATTATTTGCAATACTTAAGGATACATTGTCGTTAGAAACGTTGGTTATACTTGAAGGTGGAATATATGTATGCGAGGTGTTTAAATTATCCGACTGTCTTTCCTTTTCTGATGGTGGTCTATCTATCGTTTTTTGTTCTGTATTCATAATCAGAGACGAATTTTTTACTAAATCAGATTTTAAATTATTTGCTGGTGTTATGGATTCTAGAGAATTTATAGATTGTTCGCCTTCCATTTGCACATTATTTATTGGAGCTGTCATCTTATTTTGATTCCACTGTGAAGGTGACGAAGAAATATGTCCAACTGCTGGTGACGAAGGGTTTCTTGGATAAGGATATTCTCCACCAGAAGGCAATACCATTTGTTCTAAGGCTTGCAAAGTATTTTGTGAATTGAATGAACCAGAAACCGGTGGAGCACCGGATGAAACAGGTGGTTGAACTATATTACGTGGTCCATGCGGTGAGGCACTGGGTCCTTTAACGGGTGACATGACTGGACGTGGAGATAATTGGGGTTGAGATTGTTGTCTCGGAGATACCTGAGCTCGTGGTGACATCTGAGGAGACAATTGCGAAAAGGGAGGGCGATACTGAGGACTCCCAGTTTCGATACCAACTGGTTTTATAGGATTGTACTGATTTGATACATTAACATCAAGAGGATGTTGAACTTGATGAGGTTGATAATTCATTGGAACAGTATGATGCGGTGAAGCATAAGGTATTTGTGATGGGACAACATGTGAGGGTCCAACAGAAGAAGACGGCGCTAGAGGTTGACGCGGTACATGATGCAACGGCTGACCACCAGGGTGATGTAGATGAGCATTTGGATGACCTTGAATTGCAGAAGTAATGCCACCAGTGTGACTTGCCATATTTTGATGAGACTGGTGTTGGGGTATAGTAGGATGATTCTGTTGGCCATGTGATAATCCATACTGATGAGCATTTACATCCATTTGTTGATGGTATGAAGAGTGTTGCCCAATTCTTGTTGCAGTTGGCGGGTGCATCTGCGCATAATTAGGGTAATTCTGAAAAAAAAAAAGAATCTTTATAATATACAAATTTACATATTCGTTGGTGAGTTCGTTACAGATCATGTGATTGATATGTGGGGTGGTCTGCCAAGTAAAATTATTCCTGTAGTCTGTTTTGCAAACGAGTTAAAGAAGGTCGAAAAGGGCAGAACAAAGTCTGCCTGGCAAGCTAGTATATATATTTTGGAGCAAAAATTAATGCACCACCTACGGATCATTAGTAGGCAGACCATCAAGATTAATTAATTATAACAAGTAGGTACTATACAACTGTAGACCATGCTGCATAAGTTGAAAAAAAAAAAAGTAATGCTGAATAAGCCATTCACATATCACACAGACTATCTACATAAAGAAGATGATATAGTGTTACGGGCGCGACAACTGTTTATTTAGAATGCCACTTAAGTGTAAAAACTTTAAGATCTCGCCTGCTTTACAAATTTTAATATAATAAAAAAAATATTTTCAAAATCCCTGTTCCCCTTCCACAAAGTCAGAACTATCTAAATATTTTCCCTTGTTTTAAGATTGATCATTTACAATAAAATATTGGAAATAACCTTATGAGTGCTCTTACAGCCCGAGCAGGCAGCGAGCTACGTGAACAATACTTTCTTTCATATCTGTTTACTGGCTGACACCATGAAAATGCGTATCGCGATCCACCATAATACAAATATTCTTAGGATGGAATTCGGTGGATGGGAAAACCTTTGATTTGACATTTTAATGTTATTTAATATTATAATTTGTTTTGATATATGCTTCATTATATAGGAATGTTAAAGTGTTGAAATAAGTATACATAAATATTTTAATTCTTACGTAGTAATCGATTGTTAACTGACATCCGTAGCATATTGGTCTGAAAATCCATTAACTCATAGAAATAGAAATTTTGTTAAAGTAATTTATGACATTACCTTCTTCCTTACGCAGTCAAAAACGAACGCACGTGTTTTACAACCAATCAGGTATTACTTAGGTAAAAGGATAATTTACCCTGAAACCATAAAGGTTTCAGGTGTGTCTCAAATGTAAAACAACTATGTATACCAGGGCATTTACTAAAGACGCGCTATTATAAAATAAATGGCAGCAGCATCTTGCTAATAACAACAAAAAAACTATGGCAACGGTTGCAATCTGTTTAAATAAATAAGACATACAAATGTAACTAATCATTATTTTATTAAATACAATCAATTACCATAATTTTAAATTAGAGAAATATTTCCCGCAACGATGTTCTAGCAAGCACACAATAGCAGTTATGGACGCACACAACGATAGTATCAACCTGTCCAAACGCGCGAAATTATATAACCGTCCTCGACAAGCGCTCGCGCGATAAAAATCTCATATCGTAGGCGCAGTAAAATGTATAGTACATTTATTCAATTTATTAAAAAATAATAGTAGCGATTTAAACAGTAAATAAATAATAGTCTAGTTTATGAAAATGTTGAAAATGGTTCTGGTATAAATATTACGTCAAAATGATGTAGAACTTCGGAAGTTTCAGTTCTCATATTACCAGGTCCAGTTTTTTTCCTTTCATAAAAGGCATGTAACGAAAATGTACAGTAGGCGCTCGATAATCCGGCACCCGATTTTTTCCTTTTATGCCGGATTGTCGCAACTGCCGGATTATCGAATTTGTATAGGAAGTAAGTAGTAAAATACTATTTTAATATGGTTAGGTGAATTTATTATAAAAATAAAATTACGTACTTAACATAAACACAAACACATGTGTTTATGTTAAGGTGAATCCCTGACCAAAATGTTGCGAAAGTGCGTTTTTCAGACTCTATTATCTCATTAGTTATGAAAAATAAACTACATCTAAAAGTACATTATTAATGTTCGATATCTTATCATCGCATTCCACGTTCTAATTTATTTTTATGTGCTATAAATACATTTAAAATCAACTTTTAAAAAATGACTAAAATTCTTGATTACATGCATCTGTTGCTAAACGCAACGCTCTAATCATTTGAGGATAACACTAATGTATAGATAATTAAAAAATCTATATTCTCCACGTTTTATTTAAATTTTTAAGTTCGTTTTTTCTCTTTTAATTGAAATAATTCCGAAAATTGTGTGACTTCTATGATAAAGGGGCGTGCGCAGAGTGCGGGCGGCATTACGCTGTATGCGTTCATACGAGGTGGCCGCGTCGCTGGTCGCCGCGCGTCCGTATTTCGCCGCAAACATAATATTATTTGAGTACCTACCAACCGATGCGCTTACGTGACGGTATATTGTAACTCGGCCGTATCTTAGAAATAAATATTACAGCCGTGCGGTACGTAAACATGCGATAGGGATGCCTGCCTCCAGCATTTTTACATTTGCCCATTGATTTATGTGTTTTATAACTCAATGCATTTTCCTACTTTGTGTTTCCATTTAGTTTTATGATTGTACTTAAATATAATTTTTTATATAAACAAATATATAATAGATACTTTGTGAATTGAATAGGAAGTGTTCAATAAAAATGCGTGTCGTTTTATGATTGGTAGATTTAATTAAAAAACCATGTTTATGTTTGAATAACAAATCGGTCTTATAAATTTGCGGCCGAAAAATATTTGCGCCTCGGCTGAGACGTACGAAATGCTTTATTATTAAAATTTTAAATATAAAAAATCCGCATTATAATATAAAGCTTAATTAAAAATTGTTTTGGGAAACATGGACAAGTTGGAGTAAAGGAATATCTTTTACTTGGTTATAGATACCTGCAGCTACTTTACAATTTATATGTTTGGTTTTAAATGAAGTTTGGATTTATTATTTTTTTTTATTCTATTTTCTGAAAGGGTCCTAGGAAAGGAATTATCACTGCGTGTTGGCGAACTTTGCATGTCTTCGAAATATTTTTTTTCTTATTTCTCAGACATGCAGGTTTCCTCACAATGTTTTCCTTCACCACTGAGCACGTGGTAAATCAACACTTAAAATTGCAATTACAATATTATTGGTGCCGGCGGGGATCGAACCCGGTTTGCTCGCACACTGTGAAAATTTTAGCAAGCGCTAACCATCTGAGCTACCACGGCTCCTCTCCTCTCGAGCTAGAGACTTTATTTTATTTATCGTCAGGCCTGTTGGTCTAGTGGTTAGTGACCCTGACTGCTATGCTGCAGGTCGTGGGTTCGATTCCCACCCAGGACAAATGTTTGTGTGATGAGCACGATCATTTGTTCTGTGTCTGGGTGTAATTTATCTATAATATTTATGTATTTAGAAATATATAAGTATGTTTATCAGTTGTCTAGTACCCATAACACAAGCTCTGCTTAGCTTGGGACTAGATGGCGTTGTGTGATAGTTGTGGAATATTATTATTATTATATTATTATTATTGGGGTATCTGTATAGTTTCTCATCTGGTTGGTTTTTATAAATATAAATTAAAATGAAAAGATAAATATACATAAATATCAATAAAATAAAATAAATACAAAAAATATACAAATAAATAAAGATCCAACCATATTAAATAAAAAATAGTCTCCTATCTTTCTCTCTATGTTTTGATCTCCTAAAACGAGTTTGAGTTGGTAAAATCAAGGCAAACTTAGGGTAGGGTTGTCAATTATTATTTTGATAATAAAACTAGTGAAATTCCGCGGTTTTATATGCGCAAGCGTGAACGTAGTTAGAACATAATATAACCTTTATGTTTTACATAAATATCCTAAAAAACTTATTATTTTAATATTTTACTAAGTACCTATAAAATTATCAAGTTTATTGCATTTTTATTTGAGTAATTTTTTATGCAATTTCTTTATCTACGTCTATTTTTAGGAACCTTTATTTAGTCTGAATCATACGTAACACTATATTACTGATTTACTTACTTATACGTAGTTTTCTTTTTTGCAGTTACAAATATCTTGTGAGGTTGAAAAAGGCAGTAATGAAAAAATAATAAGAATAATAATAATTGACGTCAGCCACTTCTTTTCATAAAAATTTCAGATCATGGTCCATTAGGTTGCAGCTTCAGCGAACCACAACTTATAATAATAATAATAACAGTAATAATATAATATTATTTTGTATTTATTTTATTTTATTGATATTTATGTATATTTATCTTTTCATTTTAATTTATAATTTTTATATATTTAAATATTTATATAACCGAACCAGATGAGAAAATTATACGGCTCCAACGATTTTAGCGACGAACGCTTGGATTTACTTTTAGAAAATGTCCTTTTGTCCATGTTTTCAGGCAATAAAAAAACTGCTACAATATAAGAAGGTAAATTTCGACAAATCACTAACGGTCATTATAGCTCAGGTGGTATGTCGGTCGGGCGTGATATCGGAGTTCCGTGGTTCGCGTCTTGGCTTTGGTCCCGCTTTTTTTTCCTTTTTTTTTTCAAGTTCTCTTCTTTTGTGATAAAATCTATTATTTCAAACCCTTTTTTTTAGTAATTTTTAAAAATATGAAAATTTTAATTTTAAAAATTAAAAAAAAAATATCTATTTATTTACTAATGCTATATTTATTATTTTAATAATTACCTACCCAGTAGGTAAATATTAAAATAATAAATGTAGCATTATAAACAGTAAATCTCCCTCAAACTCAATTTACTAATATTGTTCCTAAATAAGGAATAGCAGATAAAAGATTAGTAGGTAATAACTATTGCTCCTCAAAATTATATTTGACCTCAAGGTAAAACATATCCTAAAATTCAGAAGCTAAATAAAATAATAATACATACTATTCAAGTATATTTTCAATATGTAAGTAAATGAAAATAACAAAAATGAAGCACCATTAGCATGTAAAGTTCGAATCCATAATTAATATTTCGACAAATATTATAATTTACACCATAAAAAGCTAATTCAATATTAGCAGTATAGTATATAGTTAAAAATAATCAAAATAGTCTTTTTTATTAATTAGATAATATATTAGAATACATAATTCTAATATAATGCAA